TGCTTCTCCTCCTTTTCTCCTTCTTTTCTTCTTCTTTTCTCCATCCGAAACCTTTTTGGATTCAAGACTGACTGTAGTCTTGATCGACTACTAATAATTAAGTTCCTATAGTTCAGTTGCTTGGCTTTAAGAAGCCCATACAGCACTGATTGTAATTCAGCCCTTGTAGAATCCCCAGTTCCGACTGGACCTCGATATATGGCCAGAATTAGGCCTTCATTGTTCCTAAAAACTCCTCCCATCCCAGAAAGACCAGGATTGTCTAGGCTGCATACATCAAATTTGAGCTTGACATCTGAGAGTCTTTAAGTATTCTTGAGCAAAGAAATAGAAAAAGCTATTTCTGTATTCTCAGCCAAGAATTATACATGATTTAAGATTAAAAAAAAGTCCATTAAGATCAAATACTATTTAATTTGAGAACAATCATATTCATTATCAATCAAACTCATCATTTAGATAAGCAGCATTAATTCTTCTTCATAAATTCACAACCAATCACCAGTTCACCACCAACTAACACAAGAAAGAAGCAATGGAATCATGGTATCACAAGGACAAACCTTGCAGTCTTGTTGTGGCGATGGAAATGACAGTGCAAACTACAAATGAGTGCCTCGAGGTTTGGGAGTAGAACTCTTTCTACAGCATTATCTTCATGATGATCTAAATCATTATTGAGATTCAGGAGGTTCTCAATGAAACCAAGAACATATGATACAACAGCATCAGTTGCTGTCTGCACAGTTAGAATTGAAAATATAGAAGAAACTACAGTTTTGTCTCTACACAAGAAGGAGATTAGCGCTTGGCTTTTACTCATTGCAAAAAAGCATGAGAACAGTGAACTTGGTCTTTCGCTGCTAGAACCACCCTGCTTGAAACTGTCAATCAAAGGTTTTGCTGATATAAAGAACAAATCCCAGAATTCACCACCAAAATCATGACTTTCATACTTATTCAGAGTGAAAGATATGATCTTCAGGCACAAAGATCTCAATTCCTTTAACTGCTTCACAGTTGTATTAGACTGCAAAATATCACAGATCAAAGTTAACAATCATACAAACCCATAAAAAAATAGCAATTATACAATGTGATACTTTGACAAAACAGGTGGTAAACAGAACTATGTTGTATCGGGGGATCGCTTCTCAGGAGGGAGGAATGTAATATACAGCATATGATAGGTAGCAGAGGCTAACATGTCAAAAGGGGGTGATGTGTTAGGGACAAAACCAACTCTTGTACAGCATTCTTTTATCACACTTGATAAATGCATTGCTTGTTAGCAATGACAAAAAATATTGTACAATTCCATACTATACTTGTGACAATCAGAAGAAAAGAATCAGCAATGTTCCAAAAGCATATTTGGCATTCTATTTGCTGTTAAATGGCAATTCTCATCTGAAGCACATCCAACATTTCAGACAAGTGCCAAACACCTTCTAGGATCTTGGTGATAGAACAAGGTGTACTCATGATTACACATCAAACAGCGACTACAAACTTGGGAACAAAATGCAGCCAAGGTGTACCAACAACTTCTCTTAATCGAATGGGTTCTATGTTGTGATTGTTGCCAGCATTAAAACAGAGAAATTCCATCACATCTGAACACAGCTGGAAGGTAGTTGTGGTGTAAGTTTTTATGAATCTGATGCCCTAACTTATTAATTGCTTTTTTTCTTATTGGTACCTATCATTTTTATTAATTCATAATAATATAGAATGTGGCGCTCAATGAGTACAAATAGGCCCAAAATAGTAGCTCCCAAGATACCCCTTGCTATGTTAAAGTATCTGCCAGAGCATTTGCAGATCAGTTAACCAACCTAAATGTGACCTCAGCCTCTCTTGCTAGCTTTCTAATTTCCCTCATTACCTGTCTGAACATCCAAGGTCCCTGGATGATTGGATATGATCGAAAGATAGGTATATCTTGTCGTTCATCTTATATAGACACTGTATAGGTAGAAATAAAACCATTATAGTTGATGAATCTCATACTCCTATATCTGCTAAGAGTGAAAGTTAAGCTAAGTAATGGAATCTCACTTGAGTACATTCTCCATGTTCATAATTTTCTGAGTTCCCTTACCACAAATATAAATAAATAAGTTGCTATGTGATCTTCCATCCTAGGTTTTGTCTCTTTCTAGACCCAAGCATTGGGAGGATGATAGGAAGTGGCTATAAAACTAATACAGTATACCTTCTAAATGAAGCACCAAGACAGTTTGTAGTCTCAGTCATGTCTCTTTTCTTTTTTTTTTTTTTCTTTTAAGTATATACTTCCAAATCTTTCCAGTCTTTGTCAACCTTGAATCTACGATGTAAAGTGTATCAATTCTCAAAGAATTGTATAACAACTTTTTAGGTAATAAAAGAAATTCTGTTCCATTTCATCTTGTGCATATTGATGTTTGAGGACTTTATTCTATTCCAAGTATGGGTGGATATAGAAATTTCATTCTGTTTATCATAGTTTTCAAGGCGTCAAGGCGAGGCTAGGCAACTAGGGGGCGCGTTGTTGCCTAGTCGCCAAGGCGATGGATTTTTTTATGTCAAAAACATAGATCCTAGGGTAGTTCCCTAGGTACCATAACCATATTTCTTTAATGATTATTCATGATTTTCATAAGAAAAGTATAAATTTCATATTAAAGTATAGAAAATCAGCATATTCATGAGAAGAAAAGGAAGAATGAAAATAAAATTCAAAAATATAGGGGTTGAACCCTTATTTTTGTTAAAGGAAAAGAAGAAAATAAAAAGTATTGGTGGTAGTAGTAGTAGTAGTAGTAGAAGAAGAAGAAGTAGAAGAAGTAGAAGAAGTAGAAGAAGTAGAAGAAGAATATATGGAAGAGGAAAATGTGCTGATTAGATAAAATTTTAAGTTCTTCCTTACTTATTGGTTCAGGTTTTTAAGTCTTTGAGGGTTCAATACAGCATTTAGCAATGTTTGTGTTGATTAAACCCTAATAAAAAAGAAAAAAATAAAAAAGAAATTAGTATATAAACACACAAAATGATTATTTTAGTTTAATAATGTCTATTTTATAATTATAATCTCAAAAAAGAATGAATACAAAAGCATTTTATAGTATGAAGTAGAAAACTGCTTGGCGATTAGGCGAGGTGAGCCTCAAAGGGCGCCTTGTCGCCTAGGCGTCGCCTTGACGACTATGCTGTTTATATATGGTTTTTCTAGATATACATGGCTTTATCTTCTTAATACTGGAGAGGAAGTACCGCAAGTCATAACAAAATATTTATAATATGGTAGAGGCTCAATATAAATCATCATCACCTAAGCCTTTTCTCAACTATATGGGGTTGGCTAAATGAATACTGTTTCACCATTTCATTCTGTTTAGTGTCATATCCAACTACTTCAATCAATGTCCTTTTTTGTCTGCCTCTATCCCTTCTATCCCCTTCAAGTTGCAACAGACTACTTCTTATGGGTGCTGTAGTTGGCCTTTTGAGAAGTTAACATTATTTTTTGAAAGGAGTACTTCATTAGAACTTATATGCCCCCACAACCCAAACAAAAAGGGGACCAGAAAAGATGGATCAACACATTGTAGAGTTGGTAAGAGACTTGTTCCATAGTATTCTCAGTTCAGGCAGCAGTATATTTAATTAACAAGTTACCATCTCTTATGAACCTGTTCTTAATCTTCCCTTGAGAATCTTTGGATGCATTTGTTTTGTCCATGATGCAAGTCCTAGACTCAAATTTGATCATAACCACCTCAAATATAAAAATCTTGGGTGTTCCCCTACCTAAAAGGAGAAAACATGTTTCGATCCAATTTTTGGAGAGCATTTTGTCTCAAAAGATGTTATTTCTTTAAGTCTTAAATATCCTTTCCTCTCATACCCATTTTAAAGGGCAGACTACAAATCAAGAAAGACCCTTTTCCCATCCATTGCATATACCTGTTCCCAAGTCTTATGTTGTTGATCCTGCACCTTCCAATTTTCCCACTACTTTTAAGTCTGCTAGTGTGTCAAGGAAAGATCTGTAGAACCTGCAATTTCTTCCAATATTTTATGATCGATACTATTTCTTTTTTTTTTGATAAATTTTGATTGATACAATTTCTTCCAATATTCTATAACTTTTATTAATTTAACAAAATGAGGCTTGACAAAAAAAAATAGAAACCCAGCAGATAAGAAATATTACCATAGTTGGATTCTCTGTTGCACTGGTCGTGTCATGAACATCCATGTAGGTGCTAGAAAAATTTCCAACTAGACAAGATCCACTGCTCTTTGCACTGTCAAGTCTCAACGTGCAGCTTTCCATTACCCGGACAACAAACCCCATCAATAGGTTAAGGAAAGGTTTAATGTGCAACTCATCAAAAACTCTGAGGATGTCTTCAATGACATGCAGGAAACCATAAGTCTTCTTCCAAGACGAGCTATCTGTATTATCCAGGCTGAAAAAATTTATAAAACCAGATGCTTGAAATTCATCCATGGAAACTCTGTGGCTCCAAAAGAAATTATGAGAACCTTCAGTTCCAGTAAAGTTGGATTGCAATGGTTTTAGAAGCAAGGTGAATAAAAGAGGAAGCTCATCAATATCCATTTGTGCCAAGAAACATAGAACTGCCCTTCGGTGATGAATACTAGGATTCTGAAAAGGAAAAATACATCATATACACTTCTAGGATCAACATCAAATGGTCTAAAAGGAAAACATGAATGAAATTCATCTGTAGCAGCTGCAAGAATAGGAGGAGAATTTATAGTCAAATACACAAACAATACCTTCCGTGAGGCCAGTGTCTTTAACTTTCTAATTTTTGGTATCAATATCCGGATTACCAAAGGAATCAAATCCATTCTGTGCTGTTCCTGAACAAGAGGGGACTCCTTGGACAAAGTCCATGTTGCAAGCTCTTCCCGTAAACTTTTCGAAATGATTAGATTTATCAAATGCTGCTCATATGGGACTAAGAAGTCATCTTTCCAATTCAACAAGCAGCCAAGAACCTGCATCTGTATGTTTGCATCATTCTCATCAAGAAGCCTGAGAAAACCAAAATTCCACAATTTCATAATTAGAAGCACCAATAAAACAGCTGAAAAGCCACAAAAAGCTTTAGATCTATTACAATGGAATGCGAATAAAATTACCAACCTATTGATTAAAATGTCTTTAATAACTTTGCTTAAATATAAAGACTTGGGATTTCGCATCAACTTCAACAAATTTAACCATTCCTTAAGGACTCCCTTCCATTCTTTGACTTTACAAGCATATGAGTTGAATGATCCAATACTGCAAGCTCAGGATGGATTTAGAAAAAACCAAGGATTTGAGCAATATATTTTAATAAGACAATACGAACTGCATATAATGGAAAACAACACAGAAATAGTGACAAAATAAGAACCAGTTTCCTGTACCTCTCAAAATCATTGCTAGTGTACCCCAAAAACTTCAAGAACAAAGGAATAAGGTGTCGGGACCGAGACTCTGAAATAGTTGGAATCTTTTGCAATAACTGAAGCAATAAAGATACTACTGTTGCACATGGTGTACTATCAGAATCGGGAGAAACAAATGAATTGAAGCGCTCCACCAGATCTAACAAGTGAAATCCATAATGAAGATCAGATATCTTAAAAATAGAATAACCATGCAAATGAATAGTTAAGTTTAGCAACATGAAATAATTAAGTAAAAGTCTTTTGATAGATCAATTCACAGCTTTCTTTATCCTTTTTTCCTAACATGGATGAAAAAGGCATTAAGTTAAAGGAATCCCAATATTACAAAAGCGAGAGGCACAAAAAAGTATAAGGGTCTTGTAGCATTGAGGTGCAATGCAAGACATACATCTGGACAAAGGCACAACATTGTGGAAAAAAACATTAATTCATTAAAAATATGCAACCTGAATTAAAAAAAAAAAGGCCCCTTCAGGCAAGCCCAAACAAACACGTACTAGAGTTCAGAGGGAGCATTACCAACATGAATTTTTTGCCCATATAAATAAGAATATTGGTATTTGTAATTTTGATCACAGCTCATTCTGTTTTAGGGATAGAGTCTTGGAGATCAGAGATTGTAGCACTATTGTTGCTTCTTTGGTAGAAATTGCTATCCAAGACCCTATCTTGCATCATCTAGGGATTTAAGCAAACAAAAGGTATTTCATTTCGTTAAAAGTTAAGGAACATTACTAATGCACAAGCACCAATAAAAGGCAATTCTGAAGATAATACACAATTATACGGGTGTAAAAGACATAAGAATGTATAAAAAAGTAACCAATAAAGCAAACTCAAAGAAAGATTGTGCCTGGGTTGAAGCGCAAAGAGACACAGGCATGGGCCTTTTGAAAGGGGGTCACCTCATGGTCCTCACACCTACGTGCCTAGGTGCACCCGAGGTGCTCCATTTAAACACTGAAGGACCCACATATGAATTCCCCTTTTGAGTAAGTAATTCAAAGTAAAATTAGTTAAGTAAGAAAGTAATGGTGAATTAAACTTCGAAACTAAACTGTCAAACCTCCAACGACCTAAAACTTTATTCAACACAAACGCATAGACCAGCCATTGCCTAATGTTTTTAAATCCAAGTGTAGAAAAGAAAAATAGACGAGTCCAAATAAACTCGACAAACCAAGATGTGAATTGTCCATACCACATGATTTGTTGGAGGACCCAGGAGGGGTGCTCCCAAGTTCACTACAGAAAGTGAGGAACTTTGATTGGCATTGTTCAAGATAACAAACAAATTTATCCCACACAAGCGTACAATACTTGTTTATTAGAACCACAAGGCATTCCAATGTTGGTTCCCATAGATGGCCAAAGCGATTATGAAATATGCCAATAACCCCATTCAGTAAAAGAGGCGCATAAGCTTCAGAGATCCTCCCAGCAGACAGATCCATCTGTATTCTAGAAATCAATACAACAATTTTTCTGCTTGTAGAAATTGAAAGTGGAGTTGATTCAATTGAAAGGAGCTGAACAACCTGAAATTTTGGGGAAATAACAGATGAAGGTTAGTGAAACAAAAATCAAAAACAAGAACAGATCAACCAGAAAACAGGGCAACATACGTTATGGCACTGGAGTTCAGCACAGCATAACTGTGAACCATCAGTTTTCAATTTCTTTTTGGGAGGCTCATCCATCTTGGATAGCTGAGCATCCAGAAGTTCATAGTGGCACAATATTCTTAGGGTTGAAAGACGAAGATCCTTCTCTGAATGGCACAAATTCTCAGAAAATAACTTGACAGCATCAATAGCCTTCTCTGCCTTAAGCTCTGGATGATATATTTTATGACCTTGATGTTCTTGATATTTAGCACTATCATTAGTGTCATGATAGAATGTTAGTATTTTGTGAATATGAATAACAAATGAATCAGTACAATTTATTCATTAAAAAAGTTTTCATAAGATGATGAAACAAAATCCCAGAGTATATCAATTTGGCATACTGATCAGCTTACCCATGAACAGAATCTAAAAAGTCAGCTACAGAAAACAATATATGTGAGGAACTTCTGTATTGTCTTGCAATACGGAGGAAGTTGCTGGTTTCTGCAAGCTCAGCTGTATTACCCAAAATTAATTTATGATAGGAAGCTAAACCAGCGCCAATTAAGCTTTGCCAAGTTTGTATAGGAAGACCTGCAATTTTATCTGAAGAAACATGATGTAAATAACCTACCATAAAGCATAGAAGATATCTAGATAACCTAAAAGACAGTGCAAGAATTACAACGGTCCAGACATAGTTAAGAATCTTCATACATAAACGGATAGATTGAGTTATATCATACTTAGCCTAAAATCATGTTCTATCAGCATTACTTGAACTCTGCCTCCACTCTTTTGAAGTAGAAAAATTAGGATGATCTGTTTTGATATAAAAACTGTGAAAGAAAGAAGGAAAGAAAGAGAAAAGGAGGTTTATGCAGAGAAAGAAAGAGAAGAGAGAATGAAGAGAATGGCAAAAACCAAAATTAGGTCTGACCACCCCTTTCATTAGATTATTTTTCCCTTTTAAATTCTTCAACCCATAGTTGTCAAGCCTAGGCGACTAGGCAGTTTTCAAAGAGTGTCACTCCCAAACGCCAAGAAAAAATATATTAGGCGCATGCTTAGGGGACCGAAACACATATATAATAAATAATATTTATTAAAAGAAAATAAATATAAATATATAATATTGTATTGGTTGGTTTTAGTTTTTATAATAGGACCTGTTGCATGTTATCATGTTTTTGTTGAGGAAAATAAAAACAAAATAATCTTTGAGGTTTTCACTTTGACAAAAGAATCAACTGAGGAAGAGGAGAGAACAACAGCCCTCCATTGTTCCTACACAGTCCTCTAAGTCAAGGTGAGTTAATCAGTTTCCTCCTTTGTTTTGTTCTCTTTTCCCACTGGTTTAAAACAGTGGTTACACCCCATTTTTCTACTCTTCCTCTTCCTTTTTGTTAAACTAAAACAGGGGCTCCACCCCATTCTTATTTCCTGGTTTTAATCATATTATCGGACTAAACAGGGGCTCCACCACCTTCTTTTGTTCTTAAATTTCTTGCATGTTTTCAGCTTTTTTTCCCTCATTATTGGTGTCTGAAACAGGGGAGGAACAGGGGCTACGCCCCATACTTTTTTTCTTCATTTTCTCCTTTTGTTTTAGTAATTGTTCTCATCAAGCAACACTGCGACAAACAAAAGCACAAAAGTATGTGCAGAATACATAAAACCAAAAAACCTAGTTCAGAAGGGGAAGAAACCCAATGGCTTCTTATTTTTAAATTCCATTGCCTAGGCGAGGGCTAGGCACCTGGACGCCCCATGGTCGCCTAGCCTCGCCTTGGCCCTTGAAAACTATGCTTCAACCTCTGCCTCCTCTTTTTCTTTGTTTTCAGCAACCACAATAGAACTGTAACTTTCCCTCACTAGGAGTTTCGTTTTTTTAATCCCATAAGGACTGTCCAAATTCCCAGCTGCACTAGGATCGTTGGATTCCTTGCATCCTTTGTTCATGGCTTAATGACTGGGCTTGCTCTTGAAATTACTTCCGTAAACTACATACATTTGAGGAATTGTTTCATTCTGATTTTTATTTACTTGTTTGAAATTTGGTAAGGTTCTATTGAAGAATGGCGTTTTCTTTTGGGTTTTGCTGTCGAAGAATACCAAAAAGAAGGAAAGAAACGATTTTGGCATTGTGAGTAGGTCATCTTCGTTGTCAGAAGATCTACAACTGCATTTTCTCCAATTGAAATAAGTGTGCCACGGTTACAGATGGTGTGGTTGGTCAAACATGCATGCTTATTACAACACATTCTCCATTGTGAATTTTGAATTTAACATCTTTTTTGTTTGATACCAAAAAAACATTTTACCTATAAAATGAAAAGCCTCCATTTTCTTCCTTTTTCATTGTTTGGCCACATCAACCTGTTTTTCCACTCCATTCTGTTTAGTGCCATAAACATTATTAAATTATGAATGCCTAAATCATTTCTTACTACTTAAACCTATGTCCTTTTCAGTCCTTCTAGCCCCTTCAACAGTTCATTTGATGGTTACTCTTTTTTTTATTGATAATAGTTTATCTTTATTAATATCAAGAGAGAATTGATGCATAAAAGTATGCTACATACTCATATTGTTGATCAGATCAGATGCATCTATTATATTTTATGATAAAGCATATAATCAGAACTGTCAAACTCACCTGCTCCAGTTCTCAAAAGTTGATCAAGTGCATTTACCAAATCCATTATTAAGGACGATTCTGCTTGGGTACCAGTAATATGAGGGTAGCAACTCAGAGTTCCCCAGAGCAAAGCCAACTTAGACTCATGGAATTGAATATTTAGTGAATTCCCATTAGCGAGATCATTTATCTCCCTTACCCAGTGGCATATATCCTTCTGGAATAAATTGCACATCTTTGAAGTCACCTCTCCAGATGTTCCATGCAAGTGGTCAGACAGTTGCATTTTCACTTGCACTCTTTCAAAAAAGATCAGGATCAAATACATGACTTCCTCTGGTGAAGCTTCAACCATGTCACTCAACGCACTGAAAGTTCAATTAAAAATAACCAAAATATGTATTGACAAACTGACCAAGACAAAAAGAAATAAATAAATAAATAGTCATTAGAAGAATCAGGGCAACAACAACAGTGATGTTGGTTTTACCTTAATATATGACTTCTAAAGACATATGCCAGAGATGGATCCTTTCCCAGTAATTCTTTGATAAAATTTAGCAAACTGAAAAAGGTCAACCATGAAACAATGTTACAAAAGATGTTAATATATCAATACATTAACCCTTTGACCAAACCATTGTCTCAATATATGACTTCTAAAGACATGCCACAGAAGGATCCTTTCCGAACTAAAAAAGGTCAACCATGTAACACTAGGAAAATAGATGCTAATATACCAAAACAAATTTTTTTTATGAATGATAATAAATTTATTAATTCATAAGCAGATTTAGAGTGAGTTCATACAACATCCCAGGGAGAGGCGCGAGCTGCAGCCCCTCCTTGAATCTTACAACTAAACTAGGAAAGAAAAGCAAGAATCACAACTGAGCCCAAAACAATTCTTCCTTATTTACCCCTTGCTTAGCTAACACATCTGACAAAGTATTTGTTGATCTCCCCACCCACTGTACAGTGACCAACATATTCCTTGTCAACCAACTAAAATTCTTCACTTCATTCTTGTAACGCCACATAGCCTCTTCAGGATTTTTCAACCAACCCACCACCACTTTGGAATCCCCCTCGATTGTTAGGTGTTGTACCCCCATCCGGTTTGCAAGTTGCACCCTTTGTACAGCAGCTAATAGTTTTGCCCTGATGTAGTCCCCAATTCCGAAGGGACCTGAGTAGAGCAACAAAATCTCTCCCTTCTCATTTCTCAAAGCACCCCCCCATTCCAGATAATATTGGAAAACCCATGCTACTTACACCAAAGTTCAACTTCAGTGAGCCTTCAGATGGAGGAGAACAGCTTGTAATTGATTTGTCCTTTAGGGATGAACACCTCGCTACTGTTGACCAATTTCTCCAAAGGTCATTAAAGGAGAATTGATGAAAATTTTCCAAGGTCTTCAGCCAAGGTATTGCCCTATTCAGCACACAGTCTTTCAATTCCTGACTGCTCCTTTCCTTTTCTTGAAAAATTCTARYATTCCYTTCTTCCCAAAGAGTCCAAATCAAGGCAGCACGAGCACATCTCCACATAATTCTCCCTATT